GTCTCTTCATCTCTCCCACAGAGGCTCATTACAGTTACTTACTGCAGAAGACTTCTGAAACAGAGTAAAAGAAAATACTGAAAGAGGCAGAGCTTTACATGCCACTTCATCAATACATTTCCAAAAAGCAGGATTTATTATTTGTATGTGAATAGTAAAGAGTTCACTGCTCATTTTCTTACTTTTTTAATATTCAACCACAAAGTGGGAAAGCAATGTCCACTGGCACACAGTACCTGCTGAGGCTGAGGAAACAGAAGCTAGGTAAGGGAGGAGATGATCAACAGAAGTAACTGCAAAACAGAGAAGGGAAGTGGGCTCAGTGCTCCATGTTTAAAGATCAAATTGTAATTAGATGGTGGAAGTACCAGGACAGTTCCATTTTGAAACTTCTTACCCAGGTTTCCAGTTCAAGTCAGCCTACTACTAGCTAGTAATTAGTGCACAGTCGTAGTTCAGTACTGGAGGCTGTTGATAATAAGATCCATACGAAGCACTTTGTGGTGATGGAAACCTTTTGGGGCAGCACATAAGAAAGGAACCAAGTGTCTGTATATTTAAACCCAGAAAAGTCTGGACACAGCTGCAAAGAAAATAACTTGCTGAGTCATCATCCATGGAGAAGGGATATGAGTGGTTGAAACGAGGCTCTGGGTGGCTGAGAGGTTTTGGAGCACCACCAAACTGTAGAGGCCCACACAGGCAAGCACAATGCCTGGGAAGGCCGAGGCCCTTCACATCATTCTCACGATTTTAGTTCTTAGCTTAACAACTGTGCTCCATTAGCAGAGTTAGCCAACAGCTTCAAATGGGACAGTGTTTGTTTATTGTCTAAGGCTACAAAAGCTTGATGCAGAGTCAAGCTTTTTAATGTCTGCCCGTGTTTAAAATGAAAGTTGTTCTCAACCCCATCTTGAGTTCTCAGTGGCCTTTTAATTCATAAGGAAAAAGAGCACAATCCTTGCACCTTCACTGAGAGGGAGGACCTGCCCATTTTGTCTGGGGAATGGAAAAATACACTCACAGCCCAGTGAGGCATAAATTTATCTTCACGTATGAGGCAATTACTTCATACAGAGCTGCTTGCATTCTGAATTGCTACAAGCAGAATTCTGGTAAGTACTGACACATGGTTCACACAGTCTGCATGCAGTCTGAATGCAGACTGGCTGAAGTGTGTGGTAACCTCCCCAACCGTGTTCCAATAATCCAGCTGCATTTCCACCCTTGAAATCAAAGGGATATAAATATATCCTGCACAGAGACCAAAATCACTAGGCAGATACTGGGTTTCAGGGCTTTTGTCTCCCTGTGTCAGTACACCTTGTGAAGAACAGATCCTTTACATAAGGTCTGAGAGCACAAGTGAAAGAAACTCATCCTCTCTTGGTTGTTCAATAGATCCAGGGCAAGAGGAGAAATATCTTAGTGCTACCTATGCACTGGCTGTACTTGCAAACAGTGACATCATTCTGTAAAAGGGACTGTAATGTACATTTTTAATTCTGTAGCTGACAACCTAATTTGTTATTTATGTGCACAAAGGAAAATGAGCACAAACCAGGTCTTTTATAACCTACTCCATAGCAGCAGGACTCTGCATAACTTCTGATCTCTCCAGCAATCACAGAGATCTAATTTGCTTTTATTTGGATTTGCCAATTACACCTTTCTATGCTGTATCTGAAATCTCATATGGGTGGGAAATGAATCTGTAAAGGCAAATTACAACTCTAGTGAGCAGCACACGCAACCCAGAGATCCCAGTGAAGTGCCAGTGGCATCCCCTCATTCTCCTCATCGGATGCAATTTCTTCTATTAACCTCCAAACCAGCCTCTCTTGCTGATAAAGTCCTCTGACAAACCAAGATCCCACACATCCCAGATGGGATCCTGGAGGCAGGAAAGAGGTGAGTTCCTATGGGAAGGACTCTCTTTACCTCCGCCAGGCTCCAGGTCACATTTAAACCCACCAACTCTTTACCTCAATACCTGACTAACTCATGCAAGTGTTAGAACTCCTGCAAGAGGCTAGAACTCAAATGGTTTAAGACTTCAGAGATGAAACCTGATGTAATACAGCCATGAACTTCAGAATAATGTGCTTTCTGATGACACCTATGAGATGACAGCTTCCACGCTTGGCACCAGCTGCGTTTCTACATGGCCCAGAAGCTGTTACACCACTTTCCACCCCCTACTGCCCCATCACTGCTAAACTGATGCAGACCTCAGTGGGAAGAAGAACGGAAGCAACGTGCGGGACGGTGTGGAACGGTACAGCACGTTCTTGGCAGTGGCCGGGCACCAGCCACATCCCTCCCCCGTAAGGAATGCATCTTTCTTAACCAAGGGAGAGGTTCAGCTTTGAACTTACTGCTTCTCCCAGTCAACAAACACTCTTTGTTAACTGTCAGCTGTTTCCTAATCACTGCAGGACATCAGCTTTCACGTAGGACAAGGGCCACGCAGGGGTAAGAGGTGAAGAATTGTTCCCCTCTAACATACAGCTGGAAACATGAGGTCAAAATCTGACTTCTGCTGTGGCTTTGCCACTCTACATAAACCTGCAAGGAAAAGGAAGGGAGTGGAGGCAAGATGGGGTATATACTATTATAACAGAGTATCAGCACATATCTTCACTAGCGTCTGCAAACCAAAATGAAAGCCAGAAATCTTTATCACATCAGATAGGCAAGTCCTTATAAATATCTGAAGAAAAATGTACCTGTTCCCAATACAGGAGTGCAACAAGCCCAAGCTGCAGGTACCTAAGATGCATTTTGATTTGAAGGATTTCACAGTCCTTTCTGCAGATGAGAGAGAAAGCTTTCTGAGGCCAAACACTGTCCCCATGGCTCTGATGTTTGGTACAAGGACATGGGAGAAAGCTTTTCTGTAACAGCAGCACCACGACAAGTCAAAGCTGCTGTGCTAGGGGGAGCTCCAAAGCTGCTGGGAGAAGCACCCGCTCTGAGCCCTGCTCCCCTCAGCAAGGGCTGGGACCTCCAGCAGTCTGTTGGCAAGGCTGCTTTTAGGGAGGAGTTGTTTGTTTTTAAATTCAAGTTAAATGCACTGCAACCACATTATAATAACAGATTGGCTATCTGGCAAAAAGACAGTGCAAAAACTCTTGGGATCACAAGCTTTCTAGGCAATTTGTTACAAAAACTTTCACACAGAATATGAATATTCAGCTTTCAACAACAGAGAAGTGCCATCCACGTGTTTCAGGTTAGGACCACTCTAATCTTGCCTCATCCAAATTGCACTGGGCGAAGGCAGAGCTGTACATGCAGCTGTGGCCTGAGCAGAGCCTGTCTCACGCAGCACTGTACCGCGTTGAGAAAAGCATCAGTAACCCAGCTGCTGGGGCAGACAGAAGTAACCAGAGCAGTGACAGCCCCTACAACACTAAGCGATGTCATCTGTGTCCAGCTGGCTTCCTGTAGCTTTCACCCTGGAAGGTTTCTCTCTTTCACTCCTGGTTTTCATCTCCCAAGTCCCTCAGTCCTCTCCCTTTGCTAATCACACATATTATTCTTATTTTTCTTGACCCTTTTTCTTTATCTCCCCCCAAATCTCTTTTCCCATGTCTTTTTGGAAACTCTCCAACAAAAAAAGGCAATCCCTTTCCTTTGGAAACCAACAATTCCTGATGTTCCACACACTGCTCACACAGTCTATGTTTCCCCTAGCCCTTGATCAGTCAAACCTTTTTGCACTTTGGCTCACTGACTCAGCAAAGCTGATTTCAGAGGTATTAATGGTATGGGACGAGGAGCATTCTGCTGTTGGCAGCACCAGCACATGGTGTGCCTGCGCTGCACCACCCCACTGCACAATTCCTGCCTGCAACCACCTCAAGCCAACGGATGAAATCAAAGTAATATACCACCTGCACTGAATTCATACAGTTGGAAAATATTTGATTCCTGTGCAGTGATTCACTGACTTTCATACAAAGTTCAGTCTCCAGCATCTGCACATGAACTAGCACTGTAATTGAGTGAATAATATTTATCATACAATCCCAGGTTGGAAGGGACCTTAAGGATCATCTGGTCCAACCTTTCTTGGCAAAAGCACAGTCTAGACAAGATGCCCAGCACCCTGACCAGCTGACTCCTGAAGTATCCAACACTGGGGAATCCACCACTTCCCTGGGGAGATTATTGCAGTGGCTAATTCTCACTGTGAGAAATCCTCCTCTTAAGTTCAATTGGAATCTCCTCAGGAGAAACTCATACCCATCACCCCTTGTCTTTTCCCTGGGACTCCTGGTAAAAAGGGAGTATCCATCTTCTTTGTAGCCACACTTTAAATACTGGCACACAGTGACAAGGTGTCTCCTGAGCCTTCTTTTCTCCAGGCTGCACAATCCCAGCTCTCTCAGCCTTTCCTCACATGCTGTCCAGTCCTCAATTATCTTTGTGGCCCTTCTCTGGACCCTCTCCAGCCCATCCACATGTTTTCTGTACAGCAGGGACCAAAACCGAGCCCAGTATTCCAGGGGTGGCCTGACCAGCACTGAGCAGAGTGGAACAGTGACATCTTTATCTTTGCTGGTGATGCCCCTGTTGATGTAACCCTGCATCCTGTCGGCTTTCTTTGCTGCAGCTGCACACTGATCATTCCCATTGAGCTTGTATCCCCCAAGACCCCCAGTTGGCAAAAGCACAGTCTAGACAAGATGCCCAGCACCCTGACCAGCTGACTCCTGAAGTATCCAACACTGGGGAATCCACCACTTCCCTGGGGAGATTATTGCAGTGGCTAATTCTCACTGTGAGAAATCCTCCTCTTAAGTTCAATTGGAATCTCCTCAGGAGAAACTCATACCCATCACCCCTTGTCTTTTCCCTGGGACTCCTGGTAAAAAGGGAGTATCCATCTTCTTTGTAGCCACACTTTAAATACTGGCACACAGTGACAAGGTGTCTCCTGAGCCTTCTTTTCTCCAGGCTGCACAATCCCAGCTCTCTCAGCCTTTCCTCACATGCTGTCCAGTCCTCAATTATCTTTGTGGCCCTTCTCTGGACCCTCTCCAGCCCATCCACATGTTTTCTGTACAGCAGGGACCAAAACCGAGCCCAGTATTCCAGGGGTGGCCTGACCAGCACTGAGCAGAGTGGAACAGTGACATCTTTATCTTTGCTGGTGATGCCCCTGTTGATGTAACCCTGCATCCTGTCGGCTTTCTTTGCTGCAGCTGCACACTGATCATTCCCATTGAGCTTGTATCCCCCAAGACCCCCAGCTCCCTTTCCACAGAGCTGTTCCAAATCCCGGGAGATCCCAGCCTGTGCTGCATGCCTGTGTTTTCCAAGGTGCAAGACCTTACACTTGTCCTTGTTGAACTCCATCAGGTTCTTGTCAGCCCCCTTCTAGTCTGTACAGGTCACCCTGCAGAGTGGCTCTCCCTTTCCAAGTGTCCACTTACCCACTCAGCTTGGTGTCATTGACAAACTTCATCAGGGTGCATTTGATCCCAGCATCCAGATCACTTATGAAGATGTAAAACAGGTATTTGAAGAACTTGAGAGAACATAGAAACCTGAGTTCACAGTTTCATGAATTCCTAATGTTACTGAGGTAACTTTTACATTTCCAGCTTGTTAAGCACAGAGCAGAACTGCCTGGTGTAGCATAACAATTTGTTAGCGAGGCCGGTTTCTTTTCCGCACCCTCACCTATTCCAGTAATGACCACTGCAACTCCATGCACTTGATTTGTGGATTAAAGTTATTTAGATAGGAAGTAATATTTAATACTGAAAGGAGTGAAAAGAAGCCTTCTAAATACATTTTTGCTTTCACCATTCTCATCCCCTCTATAAATCATCTCACATTTTAGTTGCTTAACTGGCTAGGAGTGGGGAACTGTTTCACTACTTCCAGCGTTCCAAGGCTTTATATCAACGTAGATCTAGGACACAAAGTTTAATGACATCAATTGTCACTGCTAATCAGAGATAAAAGAAGTTATTTTACAAACATCTGTGCAGTGGAGTTGGCACATAAAAAACAACTGCAAATGAGCAAAATATTTTAGCATTTAGACACAGAAGGTTACATTAGTTCCCAAGAGTTAACATCTGGCTTCAAACAAAACCAGCCCAAGGCCAGCAAGAGCCCAAATTGTCCAGTTTTCTGCCAGCAACATATAGATCCAGCTTGAACAGAAACATGACAGGTAAGACTTTCTGAAGGCTTTTTCCATGGAACAGTTCCAAAACACTTCATATGTTGAAGAAGTCAATTAAATTTGATATGGTTGCTTGACATCCAGTGACATTTGCTAAAAAGACAGACTTGACATTTTTAACTCTTGATGTAATATTTTCACAATCCAGCCCAGCATAAGAAAACAAGTTACAAGTTGAACTTATGAACTATGTACCCAGCACCATCCAGTATCAATCTTACTGGAGGAATGCAAGTGATCTGAGGTTTTACAGGTACACATACTATCAGCAATGTAAAAAATTACTATTGATTACAACCACACAGCTTCACAAGTGACAGCTCCTCTCCTGATCCCCACTGCAACGAATCCACTTTTTCAGTTACTATTTTCTGACTTTGATTTCTGAGGATGGACTGACGTGACACTCATTAGAATGACTTCAAGATGAGGGCACTTTCCCTTCAGTATGGCCACAAATGTACACCTCAGCAGCCTAACTCACAGCAACCTCTATTCATATCTTGATAATCTTCCCAATGCCTTAAGAACATGTTTTGGCTTCACGTTTACAGCATGAAGTATTGTGCTCATATATGAAGATATGTACAGCATGGCCGAGGTCACCTTCATTTCATACAGATCTCAGATGACTTTTTCCTTCCCTTATCACCCAAGTAAGTAGGTGGGTCTGTCACACCCCATCTTTGCAAATGATTTTTTTAAAGTAGGACGCAGGCCAACATGCAAGTTTTATATATTTTTTAATCGTCTTATCAAGGTACTTTTCCCTTAATAGTGGTAATCTTCACTTACCAGAGATGGTGCAATACAAAAATACAAACGCCCCTCCCAGTCCTTCTTCCCCCATAAAAGAAAAGATTCTGCAGTTTTTTATGTTTTGTGAAAAAACACACTCATTTTCCTTTCGTAGCTGGCAGGATTTGAGGAAACCAGAGAGTGGGGATAGTGACAAAAGACTAAAATGTGGTGGGGCTCCTGACAACAGCAGGGAGGGGCAGACTCCTCCGGACAACAAGGCAAACATTGCAGCCGAGTTCCTGCACCACGTCACTCACTCAAGTGAAGGCCGCCAACTCCCGTGCCAAGAGCCTCCGCAGATGCCAACATCCACTGTGGAGCCACAGGGAGGGAGGCGCAGGCAGGGAGGAGGTGCCAGCAAACCCCCTCAGCTGGACGGAGGGAGCAGCACGCCCAGGCCTGGGACAACCCTCCAGTGTTGAATGGGTTTGCACTGTGCGCTGCAACCATGGGCCGGGACACCCACCACCGGTGCCCAGCTGCGGTCCCAGCGGCAGGGCCCTTGCACCACCCAGGGCCTCTGGCTAGCTCTGCTCTGGAGCAACACATGTTCCTTCTTCACCGGGGCAGGAGCCAACAGGTGAGGCCCTCTAAGCCAAAGTTCTCCTTTAAGAGCTATCTCCAGCTCTGCTGCCACTGAGGAGTTCATGCAAACCATGTCATTGCTCTCTTCATTTACTACAACTAGGTAACACATTCCTGCCTCCCCCCAGGAGGCCTGGCTCAGCCGGCTCCAGCTCACAGGTATGAGCATTACGTTAGCTATGATTTACTTCCAGTTATAAGTTTATTTCAGCAGACCAAAAAAAAAACAACCCCAAGAAAGAAGAAAACAACAACAAAAGATGCCGGCCATATGTCCCGTTAGATCCAGAGGATCACACTTTCTACAGCTGAATCTGACACTGTGACAAATGAAGATCTGCCTCGTCTCATAGCACGTGGCTTTTGAATGACATGTTCAAGAAGTATATTTGTAAATAAGTCAAAACCGGCATAAACTGAAGAACACAGGTTGAAAAAAGTGATGCCCTGGCAAGAAACCAGCAAAAAGTAGGCGCTGCATGTACTGCTGTTCCTTTCTGACTTCCTTAAAAATGGATATGGATATCCACCAAAATCCCCCACACTTCGCTTACTATTCTGTGTTTTCTTTAAAAATATCTGAGAATTTGCAGTGCAAATTATACCCATGTCTGCAGAGCAAAGAGGAAGCTGCAGTCACTTACCAATTCCTAATACTTGACACAATACTCGTTTGGTTTCTATTTTTCCATAGGATTTCACCAACTGCAAATGACAGAAGTGGAATTTTGACCTGTAAGGATTGATGCTGCTTATCATAACACAGTTCCCAAAGGTAAGTAATTCTGTGTGTAGACCAGCCTTAAAGCTGCAGTGACAGCTGAAGCAGGGATGCTGAGCACGTCTTCAGACAGCCCACTCTGTTCTGTAAGCCTCGCGGCAGCTTTGAGCCATGTGTGGTGCAAAGCTGTTTGCTTTGCCAGGCTGTAAGGAGTTAGCTTTTTCTTTTTCTTAGAATCATAGAATCACCCAGGTTGGAAAAGACCTTTAAGCTCCTCCAGTCAAACCGTTCCCAGCACTGCAAAGACCACCACTAACCCATGGCACTGAGGCCTCGGCGACACAGAGTGTGAACACTTGAGGGACGGTGACTCCAGCACTGCCCTGGGCAGCCTGTTCCTGTTCTTTCCTGACTGAAGAGCCTGTGTGAATGACCTCACGTTTGACCGTGGCTACAGCGCAAGCAATGCACACAGCCCTGTGCAGGCCTCCCTGCTACTCGCTGCTCCCTCAGCCTACATGTCAGCTACAGGCTGCATCTACCATGACTTCTAACTTGCTACTACAAATGCTGCTACAGGACCCCATGGGAGCAGCACACAGGCTCTGTTCTGCTGCCTTTTGCACTTTCATGCCTCATGTCAAAAAGAAATGCCCCACAGAACAGCACATTACATGTCTCTATAACTATATCCAATCTTAGACATCTTTTTAAGTTGTCAGCCAGACTTCCAGTTGAATCCCAGAATCCCAGACTGGTTTGGG